AAAAAAAAAAAAAAAAAAAGAAATAAAGAACTCTGCAAAAATCAAACTCAATTCTAAACTTAAAACCAGAATGAAAATTCAAAGAAGCCACCAGATCATTCAACTGCAGTAGGTACAATGTGAACACATATCTTAAGTATAGCATAATGTTATGAAGTGGGGTTTGAAATTAAGATAATCCTGGCTCTTCTGTTATTATCTCTGAACTAAAATTTGCTCACCTGAAAAACAATATTCTCTAAAAATTGTTACAACGAGGATGTGAGGATATATGGAAACTATTTTAACATTGGGTCAAATGCAAAGAAATACTCTATATATTACAGTAATATCACTCTCATGATACACATTTATATGACTTTCTTCTCCTCTCCAACATTAAGTACTTTTTAAAATCAAATCTTGAAAAATGCAGTCTGTTTCATTCTTTCTTCTTAGCAGATTATAGCAACAGGGCTGGCATATATATATTTTAAAAATTTCGATTATATAATATTGATAGGTGATCCCATCCATAAGTTTATAAATTATTTAAAAATTCATTTATAACAATGCATGTCAAAATAAATCTGTGCTTCAGATTTAACAAAATACAAAGTTTGGTCTTTTGTTATGCTGTAGGAGCTGAGGCAGCTTGAATTTATGATGCTTACCAATATCTGATTCTTCGGCTCATATTGGGTGGGAAGGCAAGATACCAGTTAACACTGGTGAACTTATGCTTAGTTCAGCAGATTTCAAATTTTTACTTCTACATAGCATGTTATACATATTGTTGGCACTTGCCAAAGAACATGTACGTAACTCTTTGTGATTTTAAGCCCCTCAAAGGTGGATACAGGATCTTAATCATCTTATCTAGTTATTGAGATTTTGCAGTGACCACTACTGGTTGCCTCCCTAACAGCAAGTCCCTAATATCTTCCCTAGGTGTTGGAACTCACTTAAGATGAATGACCACATGCTCCAGGAAATGGGCTCCTCTCCTAGCTATAAAGAATTAATTAAGGATCTAAGCTATGTAATTGGCCTTGGGTGAGCCTTTGATGTGGTTTCATCCATTGAGTGTGTGTATGGAGTGCAGAATGGAATATTCTGAGTTTTTTTCTCTCTGATTAAAGGCCATGAGAACTGCTCTTACTATCCTGGTTGGGATGTTATGAGGGTATAATATCTGAGCTGTGGCAGCCATCTTGTGACCATGAGGTAATAGCCAAGCAAAGGTGAAGATGATGAAACTGAAACACAGAAAAACAGGATCTGGTGCCTGTACACAATGAACCATTGAATGAACCCATGAACCTCCTATCTCCAATATTAAGCTAAAAGTACATGTCCTTATGGTTTAAGCCAGTGTTGAGTTTTCAATTATTTGCAACCAAAATCACCTTAGATGACACAGTATTTTCACCTCCAGAATTTCTTACTGGTTGACTATATGGACTGGTTCTTAGATTTACCTGCTCTACATTTTACCCTTTCATATCATTGAGCACTAAGGAGCCTAACATACTTACAGTAATATCTACGTAGTTCATTACTTTCATTTTCTCGAGTGATTGCCTTTCTTATGATTAGTTCCATGTTCTTCAAGTACTTTGGAATTTTGATTTGCAGGCTCAGCTTGCTTGAGAGCCTTCCTGCTCTTTATCTCTCCCTTCCTAATCTCCACTCTTCTTTACTTTTATAATTGCTTCTACCACCTGTTCAAACTGAGGGCTCCAGATCTGTGGTGATAGTGGCACTATCGCAGATCTACAAAGATCTACGTAAACAAAGGAGTAGGCTAGTCCCAGGCACTGGTTATTTTTGCTTCTCAGTTTCAAGAGTAAGGAAACTCTATTCTAGACCCTGGTTTCATTACTTTACAGGAGCTGACATTTCTGGCTACTTTGGCTTGCTTCCAGACCTACAGCCCAGGTTCTGGCTTACAAATTCATTACCCTTATCAGTTTGTTATTTCTGACACCTGGAAATGCCTATACTGCTTTTGAACACAGCTGTGCTTTAAAATTTTCTTTTTCTATTCAAAGCTCCAGAAATAAACTTACCTAGGTACTCCATTGGCTAACATTTAAAAATAAACATTATGTGAAGGAGAAAAAGATGGCTTTTTGGACAACATAAAGTTCTATGCCATGCACCATTCATTGGTAATAATCGTTAAGTGAACAGCAGAGTTTCAATGAATGAAAAAAGATCTGAGTATTCTTCTGGATTAATAGCACAAAGCAGATCAGCAGCACTGTTCTGCCTTCTGCTGATTTTTATTCATTCCCCAAAGTTCATGACATCAAAGGAAGAATAACATTGGGTCTGTTTACAAAATGTGATGCCTATATAAAATATGTCCCATAAAACACCTTGAGATCCAGTCAGTTTAATATAAAATGTTTTTAATTGTTTTTGAAAACATTTAAAAAACAATTTTTAAGCACTTTTAATAAAAAAAGAGAACTGAAATGCTACCGCAATATTCAACTACTGTAGTTTCAGCAGGTACAACAGACAACAAAACACTGGGGAAATCTGACTTTTTGCACTAAATGAAACATGAAACAGGGCTTGTTTTTGTCATTTATCGTGTAGTAAAGCACATTATAGTACAAGACTATTATATGAACCTCAAATGCACTGCACAAAAAAACACTTTCCTTCTTTTCAGTTCAAAAGTCAGTGCTTATTGCAATTATATGCAAAATTATTTACTTCATGAAGTCTTATGATAAACAGTATGTAAAATGTTTTAAACATCAAAACAATAAAAAATAATCTGGAACAGAACATGTTCAACAATAACTAAGCAGAATTAGTAAACATAAAGTAAACAACCTGTGAATAACTATGCTTGCCTGGTTAACAGTGAACCAGTTTCAATACAGCGAAGAAAAAAAAGAGTGGTTACAGGAATCCTAGTACTGTACAAGATAAGTCAATAACACTCATGCACATTTTGTGATCATGTATTAACATGGTGAAGCAAACTAAACTTAATTCTTCCTGCTGTAATATTCTCATGTAAGAGAATAATAGAAATATCTCATTGAGATCAATGCACATTGCTACATAAGACAATTTTATCTGTCACTTTGATGACATTTTGTCTTTTCATAATGAAACACATTTAAAAAGTTTAATCTGTGGACTGTATTGGTTGCATTTATCCTAAGAGATGTGCCTACCACAGGTTCAACAAATTTAGTGCAATATAGGAACCCCAAAAAGTTTGCTGGACGAATTCAACCAAATTTAAAGAGTTTGCTGCAATACTGTACAGGGGGTTAAAAATCCTCCAGTCTTTATATTTTTATCAAAAAAGATTTCCATTATTTTTATATTAGTAGGAAGCTAATAATGTAAACAAGGGATTAGAATGGCCTCAAAATCTCCTTTTCAGAGTATCTCATAGAGAAAGGCTCCCATCATTTGTTAGAAGAAATCACACAATTTCCTTTGGGTATTGCATACTTTGGTGTGCAGTAGTGCTCTGTCTCAATGTACAGTGAAGAAATAATTAGCATCAAGAAAAAAGTACCTAACAAATCATTAAATCAGGATAACAGCAAACACACACAAATGCCAATAACTAAGACATATCAATTTATAAACCTCTGCGCCAACTCTAGCACCATTTATTTATCAAAATATGTTAATACCCTACTTTGCAAATTTATTGAACAACAAAACCTTATTAAATTAAACTCTTCAGCACATTTGCTAAGTATTCATTGATTGTAGTCTTCTGATTGGCTTACTAAGATAAAGGAAAGCTTAGCTAGGTTCAAGGTAGCATAGCAAATGGTTTTTTGTTAGCTTTAAAAACAACGGCAATTTAAAAATCTTTTTGAAAGTGATCTCGATACTCACTTAAATGGAGCTTTCAACCAGTGAGAAGATTTGTGTCAATATGCAACTCATAAATAATTATTCACAAAAAAAAGGGAGCCATAGAGAGAAACATTTTAAAACAAATCCTGAGTTCTTCATTTGCAATTGTGGTTATCACAATAAATAAATAAAGCAAGTAATAAAATGCTCCTCTTCTTCAAGTACTATTGATATCCCCTTTGTTTCATCAGAGATACGAAGATATGTGGCTTCAGACCTTATGTGGTGAAATGTTTTTTGCTGTTTTTTATGTTATCCTCCTTCCTGCTTGTTTTTCAAAGGGATCCTACGATCAAACTATGTTACTATATTCAAGAGGAGTGAAGGCATCAGTCACTCAACTGAAGAGGAAAAAATTGATTACTGAGATATATTTTAATGAAAAATTTCAAAATAAATCTCAGTTAGAATCTCAATAAGTACATGCAGCCATTGTGATGAAACGAAGAGAATGCTTTTGTTTTCCTTCTCATTCCCCTGCCTCAACAAAACATAAAGCATTTTTCTAACATGCTTGTATTTATTATATTACAAATGTTGAATTACATGTACTTGTTTTGTGTGTGCGTGCCTGCGCATCCATGTGGGCTAGCTCCGTATTAAAATCAACACTTACAAATAATATTAATGCAGGGTCACAAATATAAATGGCTACTTGCTTCTCTTAAAAATTTTAGTGCAGCTTTGCTTTCCTTAAAGTAATATTTAATTTTCCGTTATTTTCTCCTATTTAAGCCCTTCATCATGGGTGTATAAATGGTACTGAAGCCCCAGAAAGTCCTACAGAGATTTTCATCCTACAGTAGCTCTATGCTTCAAGCCTAAATATTTATAATAACCTGAATATTATCCCTGTTTCAAGGAAGACCTTCTTGTCTACAGTTCACCTTAGCTATGATTTTATATCTAAAAGATAATGCCAACAACAAAATAGCCTATATCTAAAATTGATGGTTTATTCTGAGTTCTGTGCAGATCAACTGATAAAACCAACTTACACAAAATAAAGATTGACTGCTCTTGTAACAGCTGGATAGTCAATTGTTTACTAGCAAACAATGTGATTAAATGGGGCACGTTATAAAATTTAAAACCTAATACTTGTTCTTCTACAGACTACTGTCTTTAGACACTTGTTAAGAACTGAGGCAAGTCTAACCATTTCCTACTGAAGAAGAAACCACTTCTGCAGCAAACGCTTTTATAATGTCACAATTAATAGTATTTCTGCTGCGGGAGGCACTTCCATTAAGACAAATACAATACATATGTCTTTAGATACAGTGTGCTACATATTATAAAACACAATTTAACCCAACATTTCAACAGTAGGATGGTCCTTGCTTTCTATCCATTCAAAACCTGATGAAGTCATAGAATTCATGGATTCATTGCAAATTTGTTGAAATAATGGATCATTCTTTAATTCTTCCAGTGTAGCTTCATCGTCTTGTCCCTGCTGACGACCTGGATCAAACAGTAGATTTGGGTCTAAAGTGTTCAAATCATTGATGCTGCCTGAGAGCTCAGAAGACAACCTGATATCGCTAGAGAAATCAGATGCAGTATTAGTGAGATCAGATGCTACCTGACCTACCAGCTGCTGGTTGGGTTGCAAGCTGTCTCCACTCAACAGGTCTTTAACAGTGCTATTGAAATCTAACTGTTGCTCTCCAATTTCTGATTGTGCTTGATTTTCTCCAGGAGAAAAATTGATCTGATCGGTGCTATTACTTTTGGTGAGGTAAGATGGTGTCTGGAATTCATAAACAGAAGTGCTGGAATCGATCATATTTTGTGGGTTGGCACTAGGAAAAATAGTAGAAGGTTCTAAAATCTGAGTGAGATTCATCCGGGCCGTATAATTGGAGGGCAGGTTGTTCATTCCCAAACCTCTCACTGCGTCATCATTGTCAGAATCAAGTTTACTCAACAAAACATTGGTTATTTTTTTACTGTTTGCTTGCTTCTGAAGAGCGTTTGGGAAGGCTGTCTGCATCATGACTGTTAATGGAACTGATTGGCTTCTTTGAGCTATGTTGTTGGCACATGTGTCTGTGTGAACATTTGTGAAAACATGAACTTCGGGGGTTACTGGACTTCCAAAGGGGGTCACATTAGATCGTGGGATATTAGATACTGGATACAGGGTGCTTCCACTAAGATTACGTTGGCGATGAACAGCAGGGCTCACACTCCGGCATCTGAAGTTGCTGCTGGCAGATGAATTAGTTCCTTTATTATCAAGAGGGGCAGGGACTGCAAAACCCTCCTGTTTGTTGGTGTTATTTACAGTGGCACCTTGATGCTGCACAGGAGAGACAGGAGTCAAACGGCCAAAATGAGTGTCATGATGTCTGGATTGAGACTGATAAGACTGTCCAGGCACAGCAAAAGCATGAGGTTTCCTGAAACGGTCTTCCACTAGTTCCTGATAGCTTGGGAGAATGCCATGGCCAGAAACTGATGAATTACCAACCCCACTATACCCATTATTCATCCATTCAAGCTTTGTTTTGTCAGGGTGTGTGGCCATGGGTCTTTGCATCGGTTTCACAGGACTACTTGACACAATGCTGGCATCATGATATGCCATACTGGAGCTTATTGGAGTGAATGCAAATGGATTCCTGCATTCAACAGGGCTGGGAGGGACACTACTGCTGCAGTTAGAATGTGGAGTACCAATGGGTGTATGTCGGCTACTTCCTAAAGCACTATCCACAGGTGTAGTCTGGGCTAGCCTGGAGCAAGGGCTCTCCCGTGATAGACTCTGAGATCCAGCAATCATTTCAGATGTTGGGGTTGGGGTTGGGGTTGGAGTAGGAGTGGGTGTGGGTGTGGGTGTAGGTGTGTGGATTGGAGTGCCATTGCTATGGATTGGATGATAGAAGTGGGTGCTGGAGGTGTGAGATGACATGGGAGCTCCTGGAGTTACTGACTGACTCTGAAGAGTCATTCCCAAACAGTTGCCATAGGAATGCGAATTGTTCATTGACATTTGCTGCTCCATAAGCACCAGCTCTTCCACAATACTATCTTGTGTAAGTTCATCATCAAAAGGAAAGTAGCTTTCATTTGTCTGGGAAACAGAAGGCTCAAACTCCTTCAGTTCAGATTGCAGAGGTAACTGATCTGAAGAATGTGCTTGTATTTGATTCAAAGAAGATTCTTGTATCTGGGTATGTAGCTGCTGGCTGTATGTGTCCTGTGGCATTCCTTCTAATTCCCAAACAGATTTTTCTAAGTCATTGATATCAGGGTGCTCAGGAATTGTCATAACACTGATATCTTGCTGTTGTTCACAACTGGCAGATATAAACTCAGAATCCTTAGGGATTTGTTGCCATCCATTTGGATTAAAGCTGCCAACTGACTTTGAATCACTGTCCAAGAGAAAGACACTTCCTTCAAGTTTTACTTTTATATCTGGAGATGATGATGGAGTTGTTGGCTGTTCCAAAGCTGAATCGTTGATAACAAGGGCAGGAGAATTCAAGGGTTGATTCACTCCTATGTGTGAATTGACATTTACTGATACCTTGCTAGGAATCTGAGCACCTGCTGTTGAACCTTCTGTTTTCCCTGAATGTGGAACCTTTTGGTCCTTCTTAACACTGCCTTGTTTCTGCCCTTCTGTGGTAGCTGCTGAATGCTGTTCCACAATTGGTTTCTTTACAGGAGGCACCTGTGTTTCTTGCAATGTAGAAGACAGTCGTTTTCTTGGGCTTTTAGTGCATAATTTAGGGTCTTTATTGATTGAGTCACCATTAGATGGTGAGCTGGTGCTGGTGAAAGTTAAGTTCTGAGAAGCAACTGATAGAGTGACAGTGCTTTGATTATTGCCTGTTGATGTGCCTGGCAGAATCTCATTACAGCGACTTTTACATTTGGTCCTCTGGTCACAGACCTTAGTTGCTTTTATTTCAATGACACCTTCATTTGAAGGTTTCTGCAGTGCTCCATCTGTATTACTTTTCTGCCCCAAAAGGGCATTAGGTGTTTGGGGAGCTTTAGCCCCATCAGAGTTCTCTTGGCATTGTACAGGATGCTCATCTGATGATGTTTCAGGTTCCACTTTGACTTCCACAGCAGATGTTCCCCCTGCACTGCTGGTCCTGGATCCAGGAGACTGAAGTGATACGACAGAACCATTCTTGATCTGTGGAATACTCCTTGATTCTTCTGTTGTTCCTGTAGTACTGCTGACTGAGGCAGAATGTTTAAGAGGGGTGTTACTGTTGCTGGGTGTGAGGGATATTGTTGTCATTTTCACCACATTTAGAGAACTCACGTGTGAAGCGGGTACAACAGCAGTTTTGATGGGACTACTAGTAAAGAGGACAGTAGTTGGAGAGCGAATGGTGAGTGCACTGGTGTTGGCTGGTTTGGGTAAGATCTGAGGGTAACGGTGCCGGGCAGAACGATCTCCACCAGGACTGGCTGGAACGTTCTGGGGAGTCTTTGGTGCCTGCTTCACAGACTGCATGTGCTGAGTGACCACCTGTACGTTGAGAGGAAGAACTTTGCCATCAGAAGAACTCATTGGACTCGGTGAAGTTACCAATTGCCTAGTCCTCTGGACCTGTTAAAAGATAGCAAAAAGTCAGATTAACAGCTCTAGGTTATAAATAGTAATTCATGTATCTGTTTATACTTTCAATGCATTCATTAAATGTTAATGTTAAAAAGAAAAAAGGTCCTGTGTTAAAAGAGAGTTCTTCTAGACCAGGTTCTACACAACCAGACACACAAATATAACAAATGCAACCATAATGCATTGTAAATAAAAAATAGGTAAGAAGAGGCTGGGCACGGTGGCTCATACCTATAATCTTATCACTTTGGGAGCCTGAGGTGGTTGGATCACCTGAGGTCAGGAGTTAAAGACCACCGTGGCCAACATGGTGAAACCCCATCTGTACTAAAAATATAAAAATTAGCTGG